CGTGGGGTCAGAACTTATACTCAAGTTTGAACTCCAGTTTGAACTCAAGTTTGAACTCAAGTTTGAACTCAAGTTTGAACTCAAGTTTGAACTCAGGCATAGGCTTAAAGTACCAGTACATGGGCACCTGGGCCGCGGGCCCGACAGCTCAAATTGTGGAGGTGAGAAACTAAAACGTGACCGCTGCCGCCGATTGAATTGATCAATGGGGGGATCAATGGGGGGCCCAGCGTTTGACGTTTCGGCCTCGTTTTGTTTTTTCTTGTGGCGACAAGTTTAGTTTCGGACTGCAAGGCTGACACCGTGTACTAGTTAGTGGGTTTAATGGCGGCTTAGGCATGTGCTGGAGGACCTGTCCAGAAGAGCAGTTGCAGGAATCTGGATGGGTTGTCAACCAGGTGCATTGCTTATATTTAGATATATTCTTGATTGCTATGTGTCGTTGACGTTGACTCCTGGGTATTGTCTGCTTAGGCATCGTCGCATGGTGTTTCTTTTTTTTTTTGTTTATGTAATATAACTATATTTTTTTACGGATGAGGCATCTCGCAACGTTTGAGTCGAGTCAAAGCACAAGCGAAGCCGGTGATTTCCTTTTTTTTTTTTTTTTAACACCAACTACGACGACCTACCTCAGGTAGTGATTTCCTAATTTGGACCTGGTGATTGACTGTCTAGCCCCCGTTAATTAAAGTGCAAGCAAATACCAACTGGCCTAGCTCAGCTGGTATAAGCCCATGAACTGTCGATATACAGACCTCAGTTCGAATCCAGATGGGGGACTTAGATGAATAAAATAAGTTTAAATAACTCTGCATTTACCTCGGGCTGATCAGTTCTGAAGATGAGACGATTTATCAATTCCACTGCCCTTGTATTAAAAAAAAAAAAAAAAAACTCCAAGCAAAAAATCTGGTGATTGTCACTGATTGACTGATTGAAGCTGTTGATTGAGTGGCTTCCTGTCGCGTTCCCCCCCCCCCCCCNCCCCCCACCCCTCGCTCTTACTGAAAAAAAGAAATGGCGCCGTGCTAATCTTCGCTCTTACTGAAAAAAAGAAATGGCGCCGCGCTAATCTTCGCTCTTACTGAAAAAAAGAAATGGCGCCGTGCTAATCTTCGCTCTTACTGAAAAAAGAAATGGCGCCGTGCTAATCTTCTCTGTATCGTTCCAATTTCATCGGATGTCCTGAAGGACCTTCCTGTCATGTTTGGTGATATGAGTGTATTGTCTAATTCTATTGGTCGAATGTTTTGGTTGGTTTACAGATATACAAGTGGGCGGGCGATTCCTGAGGCGGCGATTGATTGGCAGTCTTGGATTTGATTGATGAGCAGCTGGTCAAACCAATAAAAGTCAACAATTCATCGAAAAACGGAAGCAAGCACTGTTAGTCAAAGTGCAAGCAAAGTCTGATTGGGAGAAGGTTACCTGAAGAAGACCTGCAATCTGCCGCTTATTTCCTGATTAGGGAAGGGCTTACCTGATACGGTGATGTGAAGTAGCTGTGGATTGAACGAGATGGTTATGTGACAAGAAGACCTCCAATCTCCTGCTTATTACCTGAGAAGGACAGGATTACCTGCTAAGGAAAGGGCTACCGGGTAAGAAGACCAGTGATCTCCGGCTAATTACGTACCTAAGCAGGAGAAAATTACGCCAAGCAGCTGTGGATTGAAGTATGTCAAGATGCAGATCTGGCAGGTAATAACTTATAAGAAGCAGATTGTACCTCGCTCAGTTGGTACACCCATGAGCTGTTGAAATACAGACCCAAGTTCGAATCCAGATGCAATTAAAAATAATTCTGAATTATACCCGGGGCTGGTCAGTTCAATGATGATATCTCAAGGCTGTCGCCCTTTTTTTTTTTTTTTTGGTTAAGAGAGGCAGATCACACAGCTAGGATTTGCACTACATTGCAGTGTGCGAATGGGGACTGAGCTGCGTTTTCCCCAGAATAGAACCTACAGTTGTCATCGCTGTATCTAGAGTCAAAAGACTGAACTTGCCCCAAACATAGCTATAATGACCGTACGGCGTACATTCTTATTTTTCCCTTTTGCCTTTTCCGCTCTCTTGGCTGTGGTTTTGCAGGATGGTAGATAGGGACAGTGGTAATCTTTTTACTGTACGTTATATTCGCAGGGGGATGGTAGCATTTGCATTGCGTTAACATTTGCATGGCATAGAATTGCGTTGCATTTAGGGACAGTGGTAATCTCGTTATTGTACGTTCTAGTCGCAGGACAATGGTAGCATTTGCAGTGCATTGACATTTGCATTGCAGTGCATTTGCATTTGCATTTGCATTTGCATTGCATTTAGGGACATTTTTATTTGCAGGAGGAAGGTAGCGTTTGCATTGCATTGCACGCATTGGATTTGCATTGGATTTGCATTGGATTTGCATTAGATTTGCATTGCATTGACATTTGCATTTAGGGACGGTTGTAATCTCGTGAGAGGATGGCAATGCATTCACATTCGCATTTAGGGACACTGGTAATCTCGCATTTTGCATTGCATTTAGGGACAGTTTTAGGTGTGGGGGATGTTAGCATTTGCATTTACATTGCATTTGCATTTGCATTTGCATTTACATTGCATTTGCATTTGATTTTGCATGGCATTGACATTTGCATTGCATTGCATTGACATTTGCATTGCATTGACATTTGCATTGCATTGACATATGCATTGCATCGACATATGCATTGCATCGACATTTGCATTGCATCGACATTTGCACTGCCCTGCATTGCATTGATATATTGCATTACGTTGCATCGGCATTTGCATTGGCATTTGCATTGCATTTAGGGACAGTGGTAATATCGATACTGTATGTTCTGTTCACGTGAGGGTGGAAGCATTTGCATTGCTCAAATAAGAACTAGCATTTGCATTACATTGCATTGCATTTGCATTGTTTAAATAAGGACTGAACTGAACATGTATCCAGTTTTCGACGCATGCTTTGTATTTATTTACTTATTTACTATGCTGGGCCGTCGTTCGGCCCGGCATGCCCGGGCCAGTTGGGCACAGGGGGGGGTCGCCCGGCAAAACCAGACGGGTCAAAAAAGAGGCAAGGATCCCCCTCCCCCCCCAAAAAAAACGACTTCAGGCCAGGACTGCGCTGGGCCTAAGCAGTCAGAATCCGGTCTTAACTTCTATTTTGGTGATGGGTCATCCAGGGGGGTATAAACAGTGACCAAAGGGGTTTAAAAGGGTACATTTCGACTCATGTTTTCTCATTTATTTTTATCTCAAAATTAACAAGGAATGTCGAGGTGACCCTCAGCCAAAAGTTGTTGGTATTGCAATTTTACACAGCATATTTTGTTTTCGGATATTTTTTTTTAAAATATTATTCGCTGGGACCGCTCGGGACCCTGCCCGGACCCTGCCCGCCCCTGGCCGCCCGGGGACCAGCACATCTTTTTTTTTTTTTTTTCTGGCAACGCATGGTTCTCAAATAGGGGGTGGAGAAGGAAAGGAACAATCTCTAGTACCCTTGACGTTTCACGGGTTCATTTTAGATCCTTTCAGCATTAAAAAGGAATGCTGTTGCAAAATGAATCAAAAAACGAAAAACAAGGAAAAAGGGAGAAAAGCGCTCTCACATCGGGCCTCGTTGCACTACTCTCCACGTGCACAAAAGACAAAAAAGATGGTAATGTATCTTTCCATGTTCTAGCGGAGGATTCAGTCTCTTTTTGCACATTTGGAGAGAGTTACTGCCCCCGTGCAGCGAGGCCCATAGTTTGCTTACTGTAGTTAAGACTGATGGCAGGCAGGCTTGTGGTTGTAAATTTTTTGCAATCCCTGACGGACAGAAGGCTGACAGACTGAAAGGCAGGTCTGGCAGGTCAGGCAGGTCAGGCAGAGGAGTATGTTCCTAGCGAAAATGCTTGTGTATACTCGCGTGTACTTATTGTGCGAGCATAGAGAACAAAAATCTACAGGGCGGGTCTAGGATCAAGCTCAAGGTCCAGAACGTTCTAGTAAAGACTATAGCACAAAACTTGGGCTGCGCCCAACAACAATTCTCACCAATCTTGTGTCATGTGCGTACCGTCTTCACCCGAATAGAACATTCGGTCATAATCGCTGCATCTGGACTGAAAGCTTGCCCAAGTACAGCCATGATGAACGGGAGTCTCTTCTTTCAGATGGAACGTCTGGTCGTTATCGCCGCAATGGGACTGAAAGTTGCCCCAAATACAACCATGATGAATGGGAGTTCTATTGGAGCAAAGACGGTTGTCTATGTCTGCGTTCTGGCTTTTCCCCTCTCTCTCTCTCTCTCTCACACACTGTTTCTCTCTCTCTTGGCCTTCTTTTTCTTCCCCAACAATGTTGCAGTTCTCTGATTCCGTCTTAGGGATGCTATTGGGTCGTTGGTTTGAATCCAACCTAGGGAGCTGTTCTGTGTTTAAATATACAGTCGACCGGCATTCTATTCTAATCTAATTTAATTGGATTAAAGATGTTGGACAACCGCTTTGTTGCTTGCCTCTCTACTCTACTTGTGAAGCAGCCCGCGACCTCTTACGGGCCCATCAACAAAACGAGAACATACAATACAAAATGAAAAACGAATGGTTATTTCAGATTGCTTATATGGACGCTGCAGAGCCTTGGCAATACGGATTTCAAGATGCAGCCACTCCTATGATGCAAGGAATTATTGAGTGCGCCCAGGTTGCAGATCTCGATTGCTGGGCGGCTCCAACTCTGCCACACCATCTCAAGCTGGCCCAGGCCAAGGGTGTGAGCTACACGTGCTTGGTTTGCTTATGCAATTTTAACTTGTCCGGAGCAAGCAAAGAAGACCGTTGGTGAGATCGAGGACTGCAGCAGATTTTGCGACCTTCTTATCTGACAGGTACATGCCAGTGACCAGGGTGGATCTGGCATACGGCCGGCCGATTGCATGAGTTGGCCGATCAGCTGTACCACGGACCGATTGGAGACCTAGTCCAAGAGTTTGAGACCTGGTTCAAGAGTTTGAGACCTGGTTCAAGAGTTTGAGATCTGGTACACGAGTTTGATCGGGTTTTGCAGAGTCCGGGATTGGAGCTGGGGGAGAAACCAGTCGTGTAATGTTTCATGATGGCACTTCCTCAGAAGGTAGCCAGCCGATTGGGCCGCAGGTGAGGAAAGGGGATTTGAAGGCAGATGCATTGTGACACTTCAGTAAGACTATGTTCAAGCTAAGAAGAAGAAGAACAACAACAAAAAAGACTACATTACGAACGACAACAACAAAAAAGACTACATTCACTTCCAACACACCAGATGCATGTTACCATTGAGCAAGACTGCATCCAATTCCAACACACGAACCCACTCACAATTGATTGGAAGCAATCAGAGTTGATTGGGATCTTTTTTGGTGAAATTGAAAACTTGAATACCTCCTGGTAGAAACAGGATTTGAACCATACTTGCAAGCGCACGTCGTGCGCACGGTTCCCGACGTGCGGCGCACGCGCCTAACCGATCCAGTGCAGTGTACGACGTGTGTGGGGAATGACCCGTCACGCCCCTCCGAAAAACAAAAAAGCGCGTACTTCCTCATCTTCCATGCCTCCTCACCTCCCTCCCTTCCTCGTGTCCTCCCCGTCCTCATGTCCTCCCCTTCCCTGTGTCCTCCCCTTCCTCGCCGTCCATGTCTCCTCCTCCTCTGGCCCTTCCTCTTTTCCCTCCGTCCTGTTCGTCCTCCTCCTCCTTGTCTCGTCTTCCTCCGCGTACTTCCTCGTCTTCCATGCCTCCTCGTCTCCTTCCCTTCCTCGTGTCCTCCCCTTCCTTGTGTCCTCCCCTTCCTCGCCATCCATGTCTCCTCCTCCCACTTGTCCTCCTCCTCCTGCCCTTCCCATGTCTCCTCCTCCTCCCACTTGTCCTCCTCCCCTGCCCTTCCTCTTTTCCCTCCGTCCATTTCTTGTCCTCCCCCATCTCTACTCCTGCTCCTCCTCCTCGTCCTCCTCCTCCTCCTCACTATCCTTGTCGTCCTCCTCATCCACATCCTCCTCTCCATATCCCCCTCTCCTCGCCATATCTCCATCTTCCCGTCATATGCCACCCCTTCCCCGCTCACAAAAAATAAATAAATAATACTAATAAAAATAAGAAACCTGCACGAATCCGCACAGGCACCCCCCGCACGGAACTCATCACGAAACTCTGCACGAATGTGCGGCTCGTGCGGTTGCAAGTATGACTTGAACATGTAATTCTTTTGACTTGCCGGTGGAATAGGAACCGGAGTGATGCTCCTCAGAATGGAAAAGGAGCTGGAACCCTAAGGTTCTGTTTAAAAAAAAAAAAAAAAAAACAGGATTTGAACTGGTGACTTCTGGTGGGAATCCTCCTAAAATTGGGAACTTCATGTAACAGAGGGATTCCAATGTCCACAGTGCCGCCAATCATTAGTCGGAACTGAAAATGATTCAGTAGATTGCCAGACCTGCCTGGCTATGGCTGCGCTGTACCTGGGTATGGATGTGCTCAGTCTCCCTGCTATTATTAGAGCTAAAAATAGCACTGGTTCTTCTTGCTGAAGCAAACTTGCCAATTGTAAAATTCATAGGCTCTGCTGCCCAGCTTTTGAGAATTTTGACGAGCTGAGCTGCTTTCCAGCCTAGGCCCTACCGGGGATGCGTAATTGAAAAATCTCTTGAAGGGTTATTTTAAACTTGACCTACAAACATTTTACGTAGAAGTCCCAGGTTTGAATGCCGATGCAGCGAACAGCAAAAACGACGCAGAACGTCGAGAGAGAGTATTGGGGCACAGGTTGCAGGTTCAAATCCTGCTGCCGCAACAGCCTATTCACACTGGGGAATTTTGGCACTGAAAGTGACCGCAGTTTCGGTCAGAAAAGTGCGAGGAGTAGGTCCTCAATTATTGGTTAGATGAGTCTGATTACGGAACCTGATGGTGCAGAGTTGCGAGAATAACGGGATTTGAACCGGCGACGTCATGGATGCTTTTGGACTGTTTGGCTCTGTTGTCTGTATCTGCAGGCGCAGAGTTGTCTGGGACGAGGAGAACCTGCACCTTATCGAGACGCACAAGACAGCTCGGCAGAAGATTACAGAGCCGAAAACGCCATACCACCCGCCAGACAGCGATGGTAAGAGGTTTGCACAGTCCACAAATAAATTGCTGCTCCTTTCTGCACCTGGGTATCACAAGGGTGTGTGATTCCTGAGAGGAATAAAAATGAAAATTGGCTTTCTCCCCGGAATGGATATGGAGCCAGGATCATAAGGACCTGTTAAAAAAAAAATTTGGCTTTCTCATCCTCTGCACACAGTCTCCGTGTTCTTCTTGTCCTCCCCCCCCCTCCCCCAATCGTTCCCTGCTTTGTCCTCTCGTCTCTCTGCAACCCCCTGTCCCCCCTGCTTCGACCTCATGTCTCTCTGCAACCCCCTGCCTCCTCCCAACTCTCCCTCTCTCTATATATGTCTCTCTCCCTCTTCGCTGTCAGATGCACACAAGATAACAATTTATCCCTGCTCCCTCGTTCCTTTTCTGACGCTCTCCACTCCCTTCCTCCTCCCCTGCCTGGCTGTTCTGCAGTTATTGAAGTCACTTGCAATGATCCGCTCAGATTCGATCTCCACACAACATGAACGATGAACGCTCACACAAAGATTCACACCAAAGCCAGAGATGGACACGGAATCAGCACAGCTCAGAAACTTCAATGAATACACATATTATGATCTTATACAAATTCAGAGTTCAGATAGTGTTGCATACTGTAACGTGCAGACCAGAACAAGAACCGACCTCTCAATACAAAGTACAAGATAACACAGCGGAAGACTTAGATACGAATGATCCGAACAATCAATATTGCAATGCAGTTCTGAACACACATCATCATCATCGTTATCTGGTGTGAAGGAGGTCTGGCGCTTCACACAAGAAGACTGCGCCAGCCCCAACCATACACAGACGAAGAAGGAGGGGTTAGACGAAAGAGGAGGGGAAGATGGGAATGTCGTCAACACCAAGTCTCGGTACAGGCCCAAATAGTCCCTCGTCGAAATGTCTGAATCCCAATGTCCAGTCTGGATCCAATGTCGTCAAGCCTCAAGTCACAACTCTTTCTCTCTCTGTCGTAGTCTGAGAAGTCAGGTGGCGAGGTACCACGAAGATGGAGCTGGAGCGATGGCGCCACAGGTAAGTATCACTGGCCTCCGCCAGTATCTCTCCCACTCTACGATCTACCACCTACCAGCGCCCAGCGCTGAAGACTACTGCTACGGCTATGGGCGCCCAGCGCCGAAGACTACAGCTAGCGCTACTACTACTGCCTAGCGCTGAAGACTACTGCAGCGCTCCTCCTGAGTGCTGCGGCCGAATCCTGAAGACTACCTGTGCCTACTGAACTACCTCCCCGTGAAGTGCATGGGAACCTCCTATGTACTACCGGGTGTGCCTCCTGAGCCGTGCGAGCAGTTCAGGAGGCTGCTCTTGCCAATGCCGAAAGGAGGCAGGGGCTGCAGCTGCAGCTCCTGCTCGAGCTCGTGAGGAACAGGCTATTTCTGGCCTGTTCCGCATCCCTGTTTACGTGCCTGAGTCTTAGGGGCAGGTCGAAAGAATGAGGGCCTGAAAATGG